GGGGGGGAAGCCAAGTGGATGAGGGCAAGGGGTGTGGGGTTGCCACCTCCAGGGTGGGCTACCTCCCCATCCCTCCTCCCCCACCGCAGCTCTCGCGCTCACCCTGCAAAGCGGCAACTTCCATTTCTTTCTCCCGTTGCAGCTGCGCGTATTTCTGGCTGTGGGTCTCCAGCGCCTTCCGATGCTCCAGTTTCAACCCGTTGTGTTGCAGCTGCAGATCCAGAAGCTGCTTCTTAACATCTTCGTGCTGGTTCTGAGTGGGGGGGGGGAGAATCAAAAGAGAAATAGACAAAGGGAGGGGGGTAATTCATGCTTTTGCAATGAATAAAGGCCAGGCAAACAAAGCCGGCTGGGAAAATAAAGCTTGTAAGTTAATGGGCATAATGTTTGCAGCCGTGTGAGTACATTAGAGTTTAAAAAAAAAATCAAGACATTGAGAAGATCATCCCTTCTTAAAGATTGACGAGTTACAAAACAGTTAGCAAACGTGTAAGACTTTCAGCAGGGGTCGATTCGTAGAAAAAGAGGCGCGGGAGCTCATTAGCATAACTCATTAGCAGAACTTATTTGCATATGCCACGCCCCCTGACATCACAGGAAGTGTGTCAGAAGGCAACACCCACCGCTCAGGCTCCACTAGACTAGTTTGGATTGCTAGCTGTTGGGGGGGGGAAGGAACGTGCAGATCTGCCCTCGCAGAGGAGGGAGAGCTTGTACCTGAATAAAACTTGGTCTTAAAGGTTCCACTGGACTGTTTACGGTTGCTTGCTATTGGGGCTGCTGCTTGCTCTGACGGAGGGCTGCTGGGAGCAGGGGGCGGGGCTTGTTGCATGTGCCCGCCCCCTGGGCTCTTAACTGCCAGAGCTCCGCTCCTGTGCGCTCCTGCAGGAAATGACCCCTGACTTTCAGGCCAGGTGTTATTAAACAAAATGGCAAAGGCAGGCATTTTTCGGAAATCCTAGAATCGAGTCCAGTCACACCTTAGAGACCAACAAGATTTGGGAGCATGAGCTTTTGAAAGCCAAGCGTCCTTTGTCAGGAGCTCTTGGCAGCTGATACCCTCAAAATCTTGCTGCTCCCTAAGCTGCAACTGGACTCGAATGTAGCTCTTCTACTGCAGACCAACACGGCGGCCTTCTGGCACTATTTTTCAGAAATTCAGACCACGTAACTAATTTCAGAAGTGGAGCAAACTTTTTTTCGTGGCTCTCCAGAGGAAGGCGGAGGAGGAGATTGGAGTCTCAGAGCGACTAACAATCTCCTTTCCCTTCCCCTCCCCACAACAGACACCCTGTGGGGCAGGTGGGGCCGAGGGAGCTCTTTCAAGGACTCCCCTTGAGAGAACAGCTCGGAAAGAACTTGTGACTGACCCAAGGTCACACCAGCAGCTGCATGTGGAGGAGTGGGGAATCAAACCCGGTTCTCCCAGATTAGAGATTGGATTTATACCCCGCCCTTCACTACCTGAAAAAGTCTCAGAGCGGCTAACAATCCCCTTCCCTTCCCCTCC